AAAAAAAAAAATATATCAAACACTAAAAATGGAAGGGATAGACAGTTTTTCAATAGTTAGAGACTTTAACACCTCACTGCCATTAATGAATAGAACAACCAGTCAGAAAATAAGTAAGGAAATAGAGGACTTAAACCACATCAACCAACTAGGTCTATTAGACAAAATCATAGTGACAGAAAGCAGAACAGTGGCTGCCAAGGGTTGGGTGGAAAGGAAAATGAGAATTCCCATTTCACGGGTATAGAGTTCACATTTTACAAGATAAAACAGTTGTGGAGACAGATGGTGATGGGTGCACAACATTATGAATATACATAATATCACTGATTGTTCACTTAAAATAATATGAGTAAATTTTATGCTAGGTAAAAAAAATAAGTTAGAAAAAAAGACAAATAATACACTAATAAAAAGACCCTTGTTATTTATTTTAATTTAATAGGAGAACTGTAAATGAAACAATAGCGACAGAGTCTGTTTCTTAGTCGACTTGAGCCAACATAACAAAATACCATAGGTGACTTAAACAACAATCATTTATTTCTCACAGTTCTGAAGGCTTGAAATTGAAGATCAAGGTGCCAGCATGGTCAGGTTCTGGTAAGGGCTCTCCTTCTGGATTGTAAATGACCAACTTTTCACTGTACCTTTACATGGTAGGGAGAAATAAAGGAAAGGTTAGGACTTCAACCTATGAATGTAGGGGACACAATTCAGTCCATAGTAGTCTTTCATTTATTGCATTAAACACTGAAATTTTTGTATCAAATAGATGAGATAGTATAAGGTGATGCTATGCCAGTAATAGTAATATTTAAGCACATCACAGAGGTAAAAGCATATTTAAAATTGTATTTTTACCTTATATTTTTAAATTGAGATCATGAAATATTTATAGAGCAAGGCAGGTTTTATCGTGTCAAAAGCATGAACTTTGGAATCAGACTACTTGGTTTTGAATTGCCCCTCATTATTTATGACCCATGTGATACTGGGAAAACCAGTTATACTATTAAAGCCTTTTTTTAATGCAAAATGTGATTTAAAAAACTACCTCATAGAGTTGTGAATATTAAATAATACTACAGAAAACTTGGTTTGGCGCAGTAATCCTTCAACCGATATCAATTATGCTTATAGAAGATGGAAAGACTTTACATTAAACAATAGCAAGCGATCTTATGGTTTCTATCCCACATCCCAAAAGAAGATAGAGAGAACAGATGATAAGAGCAATTGAGAGATTACAAGTTGCCAAGCCTTTTGTCAGGTAGTTCATGTGCATCATCTCATTTGATTCTGGACACTTCTTCCCAGTAACTTAGGTTTGCATCCACAAAGTGAAGGGTACCTAGACACTGCCAGCAAGTGCCACTCCACTGCCATTTGCTTCCCTATGCTAACCATAACAGAATCTTGTGTTTAATTTTACTGGTCCAAGGCAGGTACTATAGTAAAATGAATGGAACCTGGAACAAAAAAACAATTCCAGGCTGCTCCCAAAAAACTAAGTAAAAAGATAAAAAATATTTTGATTCAATATTTTACAAAGCCAAAATAATTGTAAAAAAAACCAACAAAAAGATGAACAAAAATATCTAAATGCACCCTAAAATAGTACTATCTCAAACGTATGTAAGAAATGTCATCCATTTTTTCATTAAAGGAAGAGTTCTAATATCACTGCACAAACCCATGCTGTATTGATCAATCTTTTCCATAAATCACATAGAGTAAAAAACACAAAATTTGGGAGAAACCAACATAAAAAATGAGGAGGTCTGAGTGGAACATATATAAAAGTTGACTCCTAAAGAAAATACTTGAGACCAGAAAAAAAATGATCTTTTAAAAACTATTAACATCTTCAGAGTCAAGAAGCAAATGTCTTAGTGAGTATGAATCAAGAACAATCAAACATATGTATGTTTTGTGTTTACTTTCTTGAAAATTTAAGATACTATTGGCCAAATGAAGAAGAGGAAGATTGGCATCTGGACTCCCATTTGACCCTGACACTTAAAGCATCATCCTTCAGTTTTAATAAACTAGGTAACATTATCTCCCTCAAAAGGTAGAGGGATCAATCAAATAGATTGATTCTACAGTAAAGGGTAACAATAATTAGAATAACGCAAATGCTCTTTCAATTTGTAGAGCCAACATATAAACAAACTTGAAAGACAATAACTATAAAAGAGAATCTAACCAGTACTAAAATTGAAAACATAAAAATAATGGAAGTCATTAATGTAGCAGACCGATGTGACAAATTCTCTCACTTTATATAGCAAGGAATCAAGGTAAGCATATTCTTTATCATTATGAAGATAACCACCAGAAGAAAAAATATATGACTGGAAAAACTTAGGAGTAGATGGATAAAGAAATGTTAACTAAGTTTCTCATCTTTCAGTAGGTACAATCTAAAGTTGGAAAACAAAAGATAAGAGTAGTAGCATAAGCTGGGAGTTCGCCGGCGCTTCTAGCTCCCACCTGATCCTGCAAGGTCCAGGAACCTACGCTGGAAACTTGGAGATCCTGCTTCCTGCTTCTCTGCCTCGGCTGTGGGAAACTTGGGGTAGAGCAGAGACGTTTCTGTATTCAACAGCCCAGGCAGAGGAGAATGGGGTCTCCACAGCCTGAAGAATGAAGACACGACACAATAAAGACTTAATGTCAATGAGGAGTGGACGGAAGAAAGAGGCCCCTGGGCCCCGGGAAGAGCTGAGATGGAGGGGCCAGGCCTCCCCTGGAGGGGTCAGCACCTCCAGCAGCGAGGGCAAAGTCGAGAAGTCCAGGCAGATGGCCAAGAAGGCCCAAGTAGAGGAAGCCTCCGCCCCAAAGGTTAGTAAGCAGGGACAGAGTGAAGAGATCTCGGAAAGTGAAAGTGAGGAGACCAGTGCACCCAGGAAGCCCAAAGCTGAGCAGGAGCTCCCCCGGCCGCAGTCTCCCTCGGACCTGGACAGCTTGGACAGGCGGAGCCTCAACGATGATGGCAGCACCGACCCCAGGGATATCGACCAGGACAACTGGAGCAGGTCCCCTAGCATCTACAGCCCCGGCAGCCTGGAGAATGACTCTGACTCCTCTTCCGGCCTGTCCCAGGGCCCAGCCCTCCCCTACCACCCACCTCTGCTGTTTCCTCCCTCCCCTCTACCACCAGACAGCACCCCTCGACAGCCAGAGCCTGGCTTTGTACCCCATCTTCCTGTGACACCCACTGGATATCATGCTCTCATGGAGCCCTCCACTTGAATGTTCCAGGCTCTGCCTGGAGCCCCTTTCCTCACCCGCAGCTCTACCTTGGGGGCCGCGGGGGGCGGTGGAGGAGTTTTGTCCAGGAGCTCCAGTAGGTTCCAAGGCAGGAGGGGCTGCCTCATCAGTGGGGGCCTCCGGGGGGAGGTAAGCAGCACCCTCCACCCACTATCCCCATTTCAATACCAAGCTCTGGGGCTGGTGGCGCTTCCCCAACAAAGCCACAGAACACTCCAGTGGGTGGCGGGAGCCTGCCTTCTGCTCCATCACCAGCCACCTTCCTCCATGTGACACCGAACTTGCCTCCCCCACCTGTCCTGAGACCCCTTAACAACGCATCAGCTTCTCCTGACTTGGGGGCCCAGTCGCTACCTGGGCATCTGCCCTGTCCCCATGCCATGGGGCAGGCTATGGGCGGACTTCCGGCCCAGAGAAGGGCCCGACTCTGGCCCCCTCACCCCACTCTCTGCCCCCCACTTCCTCCTCTTTTGTCCCAGCGCCCCCAATGAGATATCCCTATTCAATCTAGCAGTAGCTCTGCAGCTACCTACTCTTCCAGCTCTTCTGCCGCCGCCGCCGCCGCCCAGTACCCAGCTTCCCAGGCGCTGCCCAGTTATCCTTTTTCCCTCCCCCGGCAAACCTCTCCGTCTCCAACCAGCCCCCCAAGTACACCCAGCCTTCTCTCCCGTCCCAGGCAGTGTGGAGCCAGGGTCCCCCTCCACCTCCTCCGTATGACTGCCTCTTAGTCAACAGCAATGCCCACCCTGGCACCTTCCCGCCTCCTGCCGGGGGCCAGGCCAGTGCCCACCCGCCAGCCCCAACACATCAGCAGCAGCAGCGGCGGCATCACGGGAACTCTGGGGCTCCCCTGGAGCGTTTCCTTACTCTTTGAAGAGCAGTGGCTCCCACCATGCGCACCTCTATGTCATGTCGCCGTCCTCGGGGACTCTGAGGCCCTACCCATCCAGGCCAGCACACCTGTCCCAGCCGCATGGCCACGTGTCCTACAGCCAGGCCAGGCCCAGCGGCCCTCTGGTCTCTTCCTCTTCCACCCGTCGTCCTCCTCCTTCTCTCAAGGGTCCTAGCCCTGCTCGCACCCCTCCTCCTCCCCCTCCCAGGGCCCCCAAGGGGCGGCCCACCCTTCCCGCTGGTGCCCATGGTCACCACCTCCTCGGCCACCCTCTCCACGGTCATCGCCACCATGGCCTCCTCGCCAGCAGGCTACAAGACGGCCTCGCCGCCCAGGCCCCCGCCATACACGAAGCGAGCCCTGTCCGCGGGGACCTACTAGACGGCCACCCCGCCTGGGTACAAGCCGGGCCCTACCTCCGTCTTCTGGACGGGGACCCCGCCGGGCTACCGAGGCGCCTCGCCGCCCGCCGGCCCAGGGACCTTCAAACTGGGCTCGCCCGCCGCGGGCGCGGGGCCGCTTCCGCCGGCGGGGCCCCTGGCCTGACCTCCCTGCCGCCGCTGCCACCCATGGTCCTCGCCGACCCAGCCCTGAGCGCCGCGCAGATCAAGCAGGAGCCGGCCGAGGAGTACGAGGCGCCCGAGAGCCCGGCGCCCCCGGCGCGCAACCCCTCGCCCTCTCCCAAGGCAATGGACGCACCCAGTCACGCCAGCCAGTCGGTCAGGTTGAACAAGCACCTGGACGGCGGCTTCGACTTGTGCGCGCGCAGCGACCTGTACTTCGTGCCGCTGGAGGGCTCCAAGCTGGCCAGGAAGCGCTCTGACCTGCTGGAGAAGGTGCACCGCGAGGCGAAGCAGCACGCGCGGGAGGAGAAGGAGCGCGAGAGCGAGCGGGAGCGCAGCGTGAAGCTGGCTCAGGAGTACCGCGCTCCTGTGGAGTTTCATCCCTGGGCCCCGTGCCCCACCACCCTCCGTTCGTGCCTGGCAATGCGGTGATTACGGTGCCTCCCTACCTGGGGCCTGACACCCCGGCCTTGGTTCTCGTACCCTCAGCGAGTACTCCCGGCTTCACGTTATGTCTCCCGGCAACCGCAACCACCCCTTCTATGTGCCCCTGGGCCCGGTGGACCCGGGGCTCCTGGGCTACAACGTCCCGGTCCTGTACAGCAGCGACCCTGCTGCCAGAGAGAGGGAGCGGGAAGCCCGGGAACTAGACCTCCGCGACCGCCTCAAGCCGGGCTTCGAGGTGAAGCCCAGCGAGCTGGAGCCCCTGCGCGGGGTCCCCGGGCGGGCCTGGATCCCTTCCCGCGACACGGTGGCCTGGCCCCGCAGCCTGGTCAGCCCGGCCTGCACCCTTTTCCCTTACACTCGAGACTGAGGGCCCTGGAGCGAGAGCGGCTAGCGCTGGCGGCCGGGTCAGCCCTGCGTCCCGACATGTCCTACGCGGAGCGGCTG